GTGATAAAAGGATTCATATGTCAGTACATGCCTCCACTGAAGCAGAAACAGAGAGAGTGATAAAGACGAGAGAATTCTAGTTTTTTTATTTATGTTTGTTCACAGTATTTTATCTTGCCCTACTTGGAGCAAAACAAAAGGAATTACCGTCCAATGAAATAACATTCATTCATTCCTCTGAGGCCGAGACTATAGGAAATTACATTTGGAAATCTATTTTTCTCCAGCAGAAACATTACGACACCGCTGACCTTATTTTGCTCTCCTTGGCCATAGTTCTACAAGCTCAAATCCTAACAGAATTATATTAGCTCAAGTTCAAACACTTATTTCATTACAAACTTGTGCAAAACAATAATATTATCTGGAGCTTTTAATAGTCAAATGCTTTATACCACATATTTAGTATATGTTTTGTTCTTTTGATAAGGAGCTGACCTCCTTGCTAACCCATCTCAACACATTTAAATACTTGTAACTCAATGTTTCTCTCAAACTTTAATATATGTGTCTGCTACAGATTATTACTTTATGACAATCGTTGTGGATCCAGTAAAGTACAACTGAAAATTTTATATCCGTGCTCGTCTGATTAGACATGATAGAAAAACTTGATGTCATATCAAATTAAACAAGAGCTGCTGATTGATATGATAGGCCTACATGTTGTCATTTAACATTCATTAACATAATCGCAAATCAAATTATGAGCCAGACATAAACGTTTATTCCTTACTCCCTTGTTTTTGTCTTGTCAGACATTTATATTCTAATACAGACACAAGGATAATATGATTGTTTTTATATTATTTTATATTTTCTCTATTTTATTTTAAAAAGGACTCACAATATCCTAAAATCGTTACCGAATAAGAAACAAGAAGTGAAAAACAAAACAAAAGGAACAGTTAATTTAACATAAACTCCAAAGGTCCATATGATTAGTGTGATGTTCGTAATCCATGTCTTCTGAAGATAATCAGGTTGATGCTGAATTAAAATAATGCTAGTCACATTTGAATCTGGCCGGAACAAATGTCCAATTTTTTTCCCATTTGCGCAGAGCAGTGAGCCTCCGCGACGCCAGGGCAATGCAGAAAAACGGACTGAAAAAAGAAAACACTTAAAGGGATAGTTCACCCAAAAATGAAAATTCTGTAATTAATTACTCACTCTCATGTCGTTACAAATCTGTAAGACCTTCGTTCATCTTCAGAACATGCGTTGTTTACATGCAGAGGAAAGCACGCGTATGCGTCGTGATACTCTCTACAATGGCAGGGCACCGCGACAGATGGGGTGTGAAGGAGAATAATTGTTGAATAAAGTCATTATTTTTGTTTTCTTTGCACACAAATGTAATGTAAATGCAATGTTTCTGTGCCTTGATCGTGGTAGTACCCTTGCTGTATATGGAGGGTCAGAGAGCTCTCTGATCAAAATTATCTTAAATTGTGTTCTGAAGATGAACGAAGGTCTTACGGGTTTGGAACGACATGAGGTTGAGACATTAATGAGATCATTTTCATTTTTGGGTGAACTAACCCTTTAACAAACGGTATTTACACTGCTTTCAAGCATTTCCTGATTAAAAAAAAAAAAGTTTATAAACTCAAATTACATCTATACGCTTTGACAAATGCACTAAAAAGGGGGGAAAATTACACAATATAAAATAAAATATATCTGGGTGTTTCTAAAATATCAGTGAACATACACTTGTCTTTGTAAACAATAACAACTTTTTGCGGGGGTGCACACCCTTTTGCTCACGCAGGCGCATCAAAAAATAAACCAGAAATTATAAAATTGGTTTGAGGAAAATAATATTGGACACAAACCTCATTGCTTCTAATGTATACTGTCAACATGGAAGATCTAAACGTGTGAAAGGGAATTAGATTTGAAGTCCTTCTCAATTTGAGAACTAGTCTCCCACCCTCCAAGCTGAAAGCATTATGTGGCAGTTCCATCACAAATAAGGATTACCAAAATTGTCTGTAATATGGCCAAACATGTCAACCAATCAGGTTTTGCTTTTTTTTTCGGTGAATGAGGCAGTTGCATCACAGTTGCATGTAATGCCTGATTGGTTATCAAAGCAGTGTGAGGATTACGAGTCAACAATGAAATTTGGATACACTCAAAGAATTCAGAAACCTAAACAATCTCAGCCCCTTGGCTCCCATCTTCTCCCTTTGGCTTCAGCAACATGTCAGCTTAGCATGTCATTGTTTGAAGGCCTCGACCCTAACCACCGGCCCACCCCTGACTCCAGTTAGGGGGCTTAAGGTTGCAGCAATACTTTAATGAATCCGATGCTGGGAATTTTCAATATACGGTTCACACTCAGCTAGTTATCCTGAACAATGAGAGCTGGAGAGGCCCACAGCTGGCCACAGTACAGCAAGACAGGGCTGCCAAACGTTTATGATAATGCCCATTCACTAGCACAATGCAGGATTAGCACTGCAATGAACTTGGAAAGTGTCCACCACAGTTCTCACTCCCTCTCTCTTCCTCACCCAGTCCCTCACAAAAACCTTTATTATAAAGATTAATCTGACATAAACAGCTATTTACAGTTAATATGCTTAATAAAGGGTGTGTGCATCCATAGCAAAATAAATTAATAAATAAAATGTCCTTAATCATTGTTTGTGTATTTTCAAGTGAAAATATCTGGGCAATCTTAAGATTAAAAGCAAAAAAAGTGTAATGTATTAAGAGTCTTATGTTCATAGAGTGTATTTTGAATGAAGTTTTCTTAGATTACTTTTTTTAAGCACAAACCTTTAAAATTAACCAAATTATTTTAAGCATATAACCTGTTTTAAAACAAGAAGAAGAAGAAAAACAGTTGCAGTTGGTTAAGGTATGTATTGAATAAATTAATTTATAAAAACAAAATTATATAAAAAATATATCGTCATGAGCAATTTTGCTTCTCAAATAGATTTATCATGCTTAAAGAAAATTTTAACTAGAAAAAAAAAAAGTATGTTTGAAATACATGCAGGTTTGGATGTTCATATTTACATATCATTTTTAAATTACTTCATAGAGTTCTCTGTTGACAAGCTGTCATTGTGTGCACATCTGATCGTACTTCTGATGTGGATTTGAGTGCACGTTGTGCATCTCTGTGTGTGTGTGTGTGTGTGTGTGTTTTCGTGAGTCTTCTTTGAGGGCTGCTGCCATATTCTCTCTGTATTTTCTCATTTCAGAGGGTGATTGGTATTTGGATGGATTTGTCTATCAGACTCAGAGAGTGATGGCTAGAGCTTTTAACAAGTTAATTTTCTAGTCCAGTTTCCCTGTGATTGCTGGGAGACAGCACAATCCTGGGAGAATTAAGTCTTGCTATCTCCAGTGCTGCATTGTATTGGAGCCCTGCAAACCGCTCTGCTCCAAAGAAAGAGATTTAGATGTTGTGTCGTTGACTGATAAAACCCTCCATCCATAGAGATTCAGACAGAGAGAGAGAGAGAGAGAGAGAGCAAACACATTCACATGCACAGACACACATACACACAAAGAACACACAGAATTTTAAATTGTTCATAAAATTCTAAAATGTTGATTTGTTTTTTTTTCCCAATGTATATACACATTATTTATTTATTTATTTTAAATACATATCTGTTCTAGATTCAACGTAAACGCTATGCTTTGGCAATACATTGCAACAATTGTCATGCCAATAAAGCACATATTGAAATTGAAAATTGAGAGAGAAAGAGAGAAACATTAACATCTATTGGAAAATGAATACAGTATGCACATTCTTACAATATGTATGTTAACCCTATAAAGTTTACTTTATGATATTTGATAAGTTAATATCTAAAGCCTCTAGATTTTCAGTCTAATAAAAACTTTGCTGAAAAACCTGTTGTACACAATCTATCATATGCCTTCAGCCATCTGACTGATCATCAGTTCATAATTTTGGTAAGTAAAAGGCCTTTTATTATAATTTTTAATATATGCATTTCACTGTGAAATCTTTAATGATTTTTATCAAGTACATTTAAAAATAGCTTTTATATTTAGTAATATTTCAAGATAGACACGTACTGGAGTCAAGCATTTTAAATTTATTTGACTGTATATATATTTTTTTTTGGAATGTGATCACTCAATCACTGTATTGTATTGCATTATAGGCTTTGCACTAAAACTACAGAGCTTTGATCATGAAACGAATCATTTAAATCAATTGTATTTTTATATATAAGACATATTATTGGGATTATTTTATTTTCTTCTTGTTGAGTGTGAGATCCATATACTTACTATATATAAAAATAAAAGCCTGGTGCATTAAATATTATACAAAACAAAACTTTTTAAATGATACAAATTTAAATTCTAAAGGTTCAATAAGCAGTTCCCCAAAAACAAAACAAAACAAACAACAAAAACAAAAACTTACTTTTGAGGGGAAAAAAATCTATTTTTTTAACTATTATTTTGTTAGGCAAAATGCTGCATTTTAACTTTGTAAATATTTCATATTTCATAATAGGAGGCAATGCATGCTCCAAAAGACCTCATGTAACAGAACTTTTAATAAATAATAATACAGTTTTCATTTTGCAATTTTTCATTCCACCCTTCCCATTTACTCTATACCTGGTTCCTGGTAAATGTAATGGCCATCCACCATTTGAGTAATTTCATAGAGCCAGGTCATCTATAACCAAGACAGAAACGAATGAAGACTTTAACACCTGCTGCTCCTGGTGTCCAGCGTGGAGTTTGATAGATCAGGAGATGTCTAAAGAAATCCTCCTCAGGCGAGTTCCCCACCTCTTCATCAAGAGACAGGGGTCATTAAGCGCTTTCATTTTTTATAGCAGAATTAATCTATTTTAATAGGTCACTCAGTTCAGAGGCAAATATAAGTAAGGGAATGGAACAGAGCAATACATCTGCCTGCTAAACACACTAATCTGTCTGTTATTATTATTCTGGAAATAATTACCTCAGCCCTGAGAGGCATACCCGGAAAAATGAGGCGATCAGGAATGTCGGGGACGAGAGAGGGCCTCTAAGCTGAATTAAGCAGGGACGGGCCCCGCAGGATTGCTGCTTGACACCGGCTGAGCGAAGATGAGATGGCGTCCTCGGGCCTCTTCATACTGACGGAGCTCTTGGGAGACAGAAAGAGACGAAGGCTGGAAGAGAGAAGAGGCTGCCGCATGTGGCCAACTGTCAAATTTAGTCCTGGAAAAGGAAACAAGAGAGGCATAGATATATGTTAGGAAATCTTCTCCTGAAATGGAGACAAACACAACCGTAAATTATCTGAGGGTGGGGTAAACAGGAGACACTGGTCAGGTGTGTATTTGTATATTTTGTGCACAAATATGTGTGCTGGCAAGTTTATAGATAAACAGGTAAGCTGAATATAATGGGCTTTTCACACGTGAAATTGTTAACCCAGGGACTTAAACCATGGATAAATGTAATCCCAGGTTATCCTATTGCATTTTTCACATTGCTCATATCATGGGTTAGTAATTAATCCTGGGTAATCAAGTTTCAAGATTTCACACTGCACACTCGTAAAGCCCAGGATAACATACTAATTTGCATATTTATGAGGTCAATAAAACGGTTTGGACAGTTTGCAATTGATATACGGCTTGTTTTAATAAATATGCCTTCAATAACTGTCTGTAAAAAAATTGGCACTTAATCCACTCAAGTTGTTTTAAAGTCAGATGAATAAGTACTGCTTAAATTTTTACTAAAAATAATGTGATATTATTTTATTACATTTTTATTTTATTTTATTTTCACTAAAATCTCCGGCACTTAGTGATCATATGTAATATATGTGAGTCACATATATTACATATAATCACTGAGTGTCAGTAATGGGATCATTCAAAAGATTTGTTTAAGACATATTTATATTCAACAAATTCAGCATTACGTTTAGCATTAAATTGGCAATAATTGACAATAAAGACCTTCACAATGTTACAAAATATTTATTTTGAACTTTCTATTCAACAATTTCATCACAGAAATAAAGTAAAATAGAAAAAAAATGTATAAAAAAATATTAAGCTGTACAACTGTTTTTAACTTTGATAATAAAAAATAATGTTTTATTTATTTGTTTGTTTGTTTTTGAGCACCAATTCCGCATATTATAATGATTTCTGAAAGACCGTGTGACACTGAAAACTGGCTGTGTCATCAAAGGAATATATTACAATTTAAATTATATTAAATAAAATATTTTAAATTGAAAGAATATTTCATTATAGTACTATTTTTTACTTTATTTTTGATCAAATAAATGCAGCCCTGGTGAGCATACGTGACATCTAAATAAATGAATAAATTGAAATTAAATTTTTCTCTCAAACACGAACACTAAACAGCATGCAGAAATATAAAGCACATGAATATGTAATGATTGATACGTTTATGACTGGTTGTCTGTTGCTAAACAGTTTTAAATCATTGTGCACTTCATACTTCATAGCTTTTGTTGGAATTCAATGCCAAACCCTGCTCTAGAAGCTTAAAACACTCTAAAAAAAATGCTGGGTTGTTTCAACCCAACTTTGGGTCAAATATGGACAACCTGACTGTTGGGTTAAATTTTAAAAGGGTCATATGATGCTTTTTTAAAGATCATTACTTTGTGTATTTGCTGTGACAGAATATGTTGACATGCTTTAATGTTCAAAAAACACATTATTTTTCAAATACTGGACATTATTGTAGGTCCTCTATGCCCCGCCTCTCTCAAACGATTAGTTTTCTACAAAGTCCCTCCTTCCCACAAGCGCAGTCTGCTCTGATTGGCTGACCCAGTGCATTGTGATTGGCCGAACACCGCAAGCACTCGTCGGAAATGTAACGCCCCTTACCATAATCGCGAGCTTCATCTTTCAAAATAAATGTAAAAACAGTAAATAATGTCATTAGTTTTACCATCAGTTCAAGCCCGAAATGGGAACAGACACAGTAATGATGCAGTACAGAAGCAGCGGTTAAGACAGCTGACTCCACTGTGATGTGACGCTGTCTCTCTCTCTCTCATACACACACACACGCGCGCGCGCACACACATACACACGAAAAACTCTGCATTTGAACAGTCAATAGCAAATACTTAAACTAGTAACAAAACATACTTACAGTTGCTGATTCAGAAGCACCATGCTGTCATAGCAAAGTCAGAATTACCTCCTCTCCTAGGTTCATGAAACGGTCGTCCATAAAATGCATTGCTGTTCTGTTGTAAGTAGTCATGCATCTACTTTCGGTGGCCAAATAAAGTGCTTTCGCCTAGAAACACACAGCGTCTCCCTGACATGGCTGCTTCAACACTAACTGCGGTTACTGAAACCACGCCTTCTTTCTTTGCGTGCACATTTGGGCGGCATTATGCAAATATTCCCACATAGTGACCTAGATATGTCGGGGCGTGTTAGAACGAGCCGTTTTAGGGGGGCGTGGCAGAGTCTTAACTTTGATAAAGAATATCTCTTTGGTTTTGAGACTTTAGTCTTTGCAACTTCAGTGATCTTATCTACTCACGAACAGCTTGTAACATTCCAAAGAGAAAGGAAAACTTGAAGTCGCATCATATGACCCCTTTAAATTACATTTTAACCCAAAAGTTGGATTAGTCCATATTTGACCCAACGTTGGGTTGAAACAACTCAGCATTTTTTAGAGTGCAGTGCTAGCCCTAAAATCACAATTGTGAAATGCTGCTCTACCTAGGGTTAAAAGTGACCCATTGTGAAATGCTCTTGAGAGTGCTTGTTTGAATGAACTATTGAAGAGCAATTCCCCAATAAGCAAACAGAGAAGGACAGAGGGTGAGTGTGTGTATTTATCAGTGCACTTTAGGTCTCAGGGCTAACGGAGGTCTTGGACTGTCTTTAGGCCTGACACTGCCCTGAGCCCTCTGATGTCAATGTCCCCGTCATTTAGAAGCCAGCCATACATACACATGAGGACCTGTCGCTACCAGGGCAAGCTGTCACCTAGCAACACCTGCAGGCCAGTGACACCTGTCCTCACTGTCTACCCCCGTTTCACCCCGATGGCATGCTGTCACACCCCTGTGTCATCTTATGACAACCTTATGTCACGCTGTCAGGGACGGTGTCAAGCGGTGGCAGGGCAATACAGCATGTCCTAATTTGTACGGGAGCAAAGAGGAGAATCCATGGCAGGAAATGAGCTAATATCTTAAAGATGTCTCTTATGCTGCTAAAGGAGCCGGTTCACACTACATCAGGGGCTGTGAAGTACTAAAACCCGGAAGAGTCAATGTCACAATATAATATTAGCGAGGCTAGCGCTGAATATATAGCATCGCAACTTCATCACTAGTTGTCATCTGTGATCCACACTTTCGCTGACAGGTGCTACTGAATATATGAGCGAATTTGTGACACCAAATGTTCACAGTGTTTAGGTTTTGCAGTTATGAAATAAGCACTATAGACTGTCAAGTGTTTGTGTGCTAATGCAGCTCAGGCACAACTTCCAGAGCGCCATCCATCACAGAGAGCTTTCTGAGGGAACCTGCGAGGATAGGATGTTCGGGTCATTTGACTGAGAATGCGGAGAATGATAGCCAATTCCACCCCAACAATGCTATCAGTCTTTGTTCGACAAGAAAGTGAAGCGCGAGGGGGCTTTGGCGCGATCACAGATGCACACCGTCCCTCGTTCCCCGTTGCCTCCATCACACGGCCTCTGCCAAGCGTTTCACTTTGAAGTGCATCAAAGAAAGATGGCCCTGCCCCCACTTACAATAGAGAGGCAGCCAAGAGATGAGTGGGAGTGGAGGGGTGTTTTGCGTAAGATGAATTTTAATTGTGTCTTTTCCCAGGGTTGGTGATGTTCTCCGTTTAAAAACAGAAAGGGAACAGGGGAGATGTAACTGATGAATTAGCCATATGAGACTGAGGGTAGTGTCATAGCTTTATGAGAAGAGAAAGAGAAAAGACAAAGAGAGACATGCACATCACCAAAAATACAAAGCAGAGACAGATTGCCAACAAATAAAAGCTCAGTGAACACAATCTAGAAGACACAAACAAACATGGCTTCCAAATAATAAAATAAAACAGGGACCTATATATATATTTTTTTCTTTATTCTGAATCGGTTTGTTTCAATAATAAAAAAAGAAAAATAAACAAATGTAAGACAGGAAATGCCATAAATAAAATGAAATAAAGTAAAATAGAATAATTAAAAAATACAATAAAATAAATTAAAAGTCAAACTTTTGAAAAGGCCTTGACAGTTTGGTTCCCTCTTGCAAAATAATCCCTTTCAACAATATGTGACTAGGGTTGCAAAGGGGCAGAAAATTCTGGGGAATTTTGGAAATATTCCAAGTTTGAAACTTACCAGGAATTTATGGGAATTAATTGAAAATTTGGGGAAATTTATAAAACTATCAAATACAAACATAAATATAAACGTTTTGTTTGAGCATATGCTCACATGCATGCAAACTAATACAAATTTAAAAAATGACATTTTGGGATTTTTGGGGGGGAATCTGTGATGATTTTTTCAGGATTCATTGATGAATGAAAACTTGTGAACAGTGTTTATTCAAAACATAAATATTTTCTAACAATACAAGTCTTTACTTTTTATTAATTTAACACATCCTTGTTGAATAAAAGTATGTATTGTTAAAAAAGGATTTCTATTTTAAATAAATGTTGTTCTTTTTTTAACTATTTATTCATCAAAGAATCCTGAAAAAATCACAGGTAATAAAAAATATATATATTAAACAGCTGTTTCCAAAACTGACGATAAATAAGCATATTATAATTATTTCTGAAGAATCATGTGACACTGAAGACTGGAGTAATGATGTTCAAAATTCAGCTTTGCATCACAGAAATACATTACATTTTAAAGTATATTAAAACAGAAAACCATTATTTTAAATTGTAATACCAGTTATACTGCACAATATTACTGTTTTGTTCTGTATTTTTGATCAAATAAATGAAGGCTTGATGAGCAAAAGATATGCAATGTTTAAAACATTAAAATAGTAATGTTTCCAAACTTTTGACCAGTACTAGCAGAAAGAGCATCACAGCTTTCACAGTTTATACGTTATACGTTAAGATTAAGAATTTGAAGATCAAGGTAAACTGTACTTAATTTGTCTTCCGGGAAACATGCAAGTATCTTCTGTTGCTTTCCGAAGGGCAGTACTAAATGGGAAAAAATTATACTTCAGAAAAATAAGAAAAGTTGGGACATCTTCATCCTGCAACACGGCTCTTAATGCATCGTGTTTCCTTCTGGAGCATCAGTGAATATTTGAACCTTTTTTAATAGTTGTGTTTGAGTCCCTCAATTGTCCTCAGTGTGAAAAGATGGATCTCAAAATCATACAGTCACTGCTGGAAAGGGTTCAAATATGCAAAAGATGCTGGAAAACTGAAGAATCTGCAGGGCACAGAGGAATTTTCTGAGGAACAGTGCTCAGTTTAACTGTTCAGAACAAACAAGGGACTCATGAACAACCATCACTAAACAAAAAAACAGTCGTGGATCATCCAGGTAACTACACACAGTATTAAGAACCAAGGGTTCCCAAACTTTTGAATGGGGCTATTTTAATAATTTCAGCAATTTTTTTTGTCTTGTGGACTAAATGTAAACATATTTTATGTAAAATATCTTACTCAGGACAGTACTAAATAAAAAAATAACAGGCATTTTGTTAAAATTATTCAAATTTTCAGAGATTCTTCAAGGGGTTCCCAAACTTTCGCATGCCACTGCTAATGTTTGCAGTGCTTATATATATATATATATATATATATATATATATATATATTCTGTAACTGTCTTTGTGTTTTAATACTTTGGCAATTTTCTATGCAAGACAGTCATGCCTATAAAGAAATGTAAAACCGAAATTAACTGAAAAAGAAGGATGTGAGGTAGGAAAGTACCATGAATAGGTAACCCAAAAGCCAGTAGAGGGCCCACCTGCCCCGAGGACAAGCTTTTCACCACAGTCCCTAAGAAAATAAAGAGAATTAGAAAAAAAGGAAAATAGGGCATGGAAATCCAAACCCACCATGATAGCAAGAGGGGGGCCAGGATGGTTGATCACAGCTGCTTACAGCACTTAATGCATCACTCACCATTGTAAGTTCCTTTTAGTTACACATGTCAAACGCTAAACATAATGCTGACCCATTAGAATCACGCGCACTATAAAGGAATAATGACTAATTAGACTGAGCACATATCAAAGATCCATAAATTTACAGAAAATCCATATAGTAAACTGTGAGATGGTGCAAGTTGCAATTAGCACAGTCATTCAAGAATGAACTCCTGGCATGTGAAGATAAAGGAGAGCAATCAGGTGTTTAACCTGCACCCAAAGTTTCCCAGAGCACAACTATCAATCTAATCAATAAATCTTTGCTTGCTAAACTAAACTAAATGTGACATTCTTACTCTTAGTTCATTGCTACTATTTGCATAGGTTATCGCTAAAAAGTTTGGGGTCGGTAAGATTTTTTTGAATGTTTTTGAAATAAGTCTCTAATGGCCACAAAAGCTGCATTTATTGGATTAAATTACATTGAAAATAGTATAAAATAAAATAAAAACTATTCTTTGAACTCTTTACTTTTTAAAATAACTTCTATTTTAATGTACTTTAAAATGTAATTTATTCCTGTGATGGCAAAGGTGAATTTTCAGGAGTCAGTGTCACATGATCCTTCGGAAATTATTCTAATATACTCAACTGGTGTTCAAGAAACATTTTGTATTATTTTCAATGCAAAAAAAACAGTTGTGTTGCTTACATTTTTTTTTTTCAGAATTTTTTGATGTGCATAAACGTTCAAAAGAATAAACATTTATTTGAAATTGAATAATTTTGGAACACTGTAAAAGTCTTTACTGTCACTTTTGATCAATGAACTGCAATCTTGCTTAATAAAAGTATTCATTAAAAAAAAAAACCTGACTCCCAAACCTTTGAACAATAATGTCAATTGAAAACATGCATAATTAATTATGGTATAATAATTATGATGTATTGTTCAAATTAAGTGGTATATTGTGAGTTATTATAAGCTGAGGTCAGATCCCTTACAATATTAAATCAAGCCTTTTTTCATCTCTGCAGGTTAATGAAGTCCAGCTTGCAACAACAGTTCTTATATCCTGCGAGGCTAAAGAGTAAATCTCCTGCAAAAAAAACACACATTCAGACCCCTGCTGTGAGCTTCAGGTGTGTGCCTGTGAGCAGTAGAGGAGCCATGGGTAGGTGTGTGAGCCCTCTAGAAAATGTTTGTGCACTTTCATGTAAATAATGCGTATAATGTCCCTGTCCAATCTATCCACCAGAAACCTCCACTGTAATTAAAGTATTTTAATATAGAAAATTAGAGTGTGTGATCTTTATATAGCAGCTAATTAACAGAGAACCAGTCCTCACTAATGAAACCCCAGGAAAGTAAGCACCCCAAAAAAAATGTAAACAATCACTAAGTTACACTGAATATATAGTGTAGGACTTGCATATGCTCAAGCAAGTAATATGCATTGCTAAGACCTTAATTTGGACAACTTTAAAGGCGATTTTCTCAATATTATGATTTTTTTGCACCCTCAGATTCCAGATTTTCAAATAGTTGTATCTCAGCCAAATCTTGTCATATCCTAACAAAGCTTATTTATTCAGCTTTCAGATGATGTATACATCTCAATTAAAAAAATTTACCCTTATGACTGCATAATTAATATATAAACAATAATAAAATAGAGCTATACTGTCAAACATTAAGTGTAAAATAATATCCTAATTCGAGGAGTCAGCTGTTATCAGCAAGTATGTTACTGAACTTTTCATAAACCACATCTGTAAATGTGTCAACTCACACTCATTTGAGTTTTTTTTTTTTTTTAAGTCAGTTGGATCTTAAACAACAATGACCCCATTTACTTTTATTGAATGGACAAAAAACACTGAGACATTTTTCAAATGACTTTATGTTCTACAGAAGTCATACATTTTTTTAAATAACACAAATGTGAGAAAATTATGGCATATTTGATGAACTATCCCTTTAAAAATGACGAGGGCGACTCCTGACTGGATGTAGATTCATTCAAATCACATTAAAAATAACATCGACAGGAAGAAACCGCTTGTACAATACAGCAAAGCTGTCACATCTTTACCCAATGTAAACAATGTGTTTTATATCTGAAGGTATAGACAGTCCTCAACAAATAAAGAAGTCTTTTAGACCATCGAATGTGATGGCACATGATTTCCAGCTATTTACTTGGACAGGGTCTCACTGTTAATCTTTTGAAACCTGCAAAGGTAGCTTAGTTTAAGAAAGAATAGGTCCAAAGGAGGGAATGTGGTGTCCTTTTTCAGATTTACTGCATTATTGGATCACACACATCTATCTTGCCTTCACAGTAACAAAAGAGTCCTCTATCCTCTGCTATCGAGGACGGACGGAGTGCGGCACCAAGGAAACGGGATTCCAGAGCGGCTAAACTGAGAGGCGGTATTTTCTCCCCGATCAGGTTCCTTCAGAAGCACGGACCCTTGTTTGCTGCTAACCGGGCGAGAGGTAATTAGGTCCGGCTTCACAAAAGGCCCCACACTATGAGAGCAGACTGGATGACTCATTAGGAGATGAGAGATTAGATTAAGCTTAGGTATCCTCAGACCTCTGCTATACACCTGCCCGCTGGAGCACACAGCCAGGCAGGTGATCCTTCCCTCTATCTCTGTGGCCCTCTGGTTACCTGACCCACAAGAGAAGGTCAGACTCCCTTGGGGCGACTAATGGATGTTAAAGGAAGAGAATGGCAGGCGGAGTTGAATTTCAATGCAGGCAGTCACTTCCAGGGTAGTTATTTCCAATTGTGAGAGCATGCAAAATTTGTGTGCATCAAAAAAACATTAAATCCATCAAAACTGTCATCAAAATTATGATGTGACAATGGGTTGCTTGATTTATTTTGTGGAAGAATAGGGTTAAACAATGTGACCTCAATAAAAAAAGTTGCATCTACAGGTTTTGTTTCAAGTGACTCTGACAGACAGACCGACACAGGCGAGCAGCAAGTGTCAACATCAGGATTGTTAGAGAATGAAAACACTTTTTTGTCTCACAGAGAACAAAGCCATTCTTTGTGAGTGACAGAAAAGTGTTCCCATCTAGACAATTAGCCACATTGTGTAAAGGCGTCGTGTACGACCACACGCATACAACACCTGAATAAGCAGAAAGCAGTCGTGTTGAAAGTTTTGAAAAGACCTTGACGGTTTGGTTCTTTCTTGAAAGACAACATTCACAGTTTCTGTTATAAGGCATAGCGATATACTTTACAGTGGGGACCAAAAGTGAAAGACCACTAGTGAAAATGTGATGAATAAATAAATACATAAAGGACAACACTTCAAAAAAAGTTTTAATTCATTTACATTAATGAATAGCTAATATGAACAATTATAATACTTCTGTAATATTTATTTATGTTAATGGTATTAATGCTATTAATGTTCTATTCTACAAACCAAACCATTCAAATGTTTAGGTCGGTAAGATATTTTAAATGTTAATGAAAGAAGTCTCTTATGCTCCCCAAGCCTGAATTTATTAGATGAAAATGCAGTAAAACTATTTTGAAGTATTATTACAATTTAAACAATGGTTTATTTTAATATATTTAAAATTTTAGTCTTCAGTGTCACAAAAACCATTTGAATATACTGATTTGGTGCTGAAGAAATATTTCGTATTATCATAAATGTGGACAAATTAATATTTCTTCAGAAACCGTGATACATTTTTTTTCCCATATTATTTAAATTAATAGAACAGGTCAAAAGAACAGCAATTCTTTGAAATGTAATATTGTGTAACATCATGAATGTCTTTTCTGTCACTTTTGATCAGTTTAATGCCTTAAAACTTGATCTCAAACTTTTGAACAGTAGTGTATGCATACATTTTAAACATTTCAAGTTGTAAAAATCAACATTTAATGTATTAGAAATTAATATAATGCTAGCCTATCTTAAAAATAAGGTGAAAAAAAAAGCATCATACAAAACACATTTTAAAGTGTCACCAAAAACAATTCCATTACCAATTTTATTACCAAAAACAAAATTGAGCTAAACAAACTATTTATTTATTTAGCATAGTCTCCTTATGCCTGATGTTCCTTTTTGTCCCAGCATGATTGATTTTACTCTACATCACAACAAGTGTAATTTAAAAGTTCATAAACCCTAAAAATGTATTTCCAGGTCTGTACTGAATTTCTAATCCAACATTTTAAATGTGGTCTCTCTTTGAACTTATTATCATTTATTAAACATGCACTGATCTTGTGTATGAAACCAAGCACGGCACTGAAATGTAATTTGCACAGTGTTCGTTCAGCCCTAACCCTTGTGCGCACAAAGCAAGCTTTGACATGTTAAAAGTCCTCTAAAAATCCGAGAACTCTTATCTCAAGACACAACAGGCAATTGGTCACCACAGAAACGGAGCATGATTTGCTCAGAGGTTGAAGGGGGATCTTTAGTTTTCTTTCACTCTCCCCCGAAACCCCATTCCCTTCCTCTCTCCCTCTCTCTCTGTGGCCTGCAGTCGGGACACTGCCCAGGTTTGCCTCATTTAAACTGTCTTCACATTGGCAGATTTGACAAGCAAGCAAAATGGCCAGGTTCCTCTGTCTCACCCACTGCTCAGAGGAGACTAAATGAACCGGCCGTCAAAAGCCAGTCAAACCAAACTGTCAGGCCAGGCACAGCGCCTCAGCTTGCCACGTACGCTAGGGGTCCAGTGTATAGTGTGGTACCAAGAGGAAATAATGAGGGGAGAAGACTAATGACCACGCTGAATGCAAAGGACAAGAGGGGTTAAGTTCAAATGCCGTAACATCCTTTAGTTTTAAGGGTCTACAGAAGACAGAGAATTGGCAGCAGTCTTTCACCATGTGCTGTATGGAGAGCTGGAAAGGGAATGATGACACAGTGTTGTAATTCTTTCATTGTGTTATTTTACATATTAGTTTTGCAAGACATTGTCCATTACGTTTTTGTTTTGTAAAGAACAGTCTTATGCTAACCAAGGCTGCAATTAGTTAATCAGTAAATCAGTAATGTATTTGAGACATATTAATAATATAACTTTTTTTCTATTTGTAAAAGTATTTTAAAACGTACAGTAGTTTTTTTTTCCCTTCCGTTGATGGCAAAGCTGCATTTTTAGCAGCCATTACTCCAGTCTTCAGTGTCACATGATCCTTCAGAAATAATTATAATATGCTGATTTGCTGCTCCGTATTTTTGTGGACATCATGACACACTACTACAAAAGTTTGGGATAAGTAAAAAATAATAATAATTAAAAAAAAAAATAATAATACTTTTCAGCAAGGGCTACATTCATAATGTTACAAAATATTTCTGAAAAATACAGTTTCAGTACTAAATCAGCATATTAGTATGATTTCTGAAAGATCACATGACGATGGGTAATGACAGCTGAAAATTCAGCTTTGCCACCATAAACTACATTATAAATATACTGTAACTGAAAACAGTTATTTTAAATTGTAATAATATTTCACAACATTGCTGTTATATTGCATTTTTAATTAAATAAATGCAGCTTTGATGAATGTTTTACCTTTGACCAGTATATTTGTAACTGAAGTTTATTTGCTTTTCTGCTTAGCAATACTAAGATTGAATTATAGCAGAAAGTACATTGAAAGATGCAACTGCAAAAAAACATAAAATACAAAATTATTCAGCAAAATTCAAGCAGAACATATAAGAACAAACAATACCTTGTATAATAGATTTGTATAATAGAGATGGCTGCATTTGAAGGAAACAGAAAAAAGCTTTTTTTTCTTCTTCTATGACAGCCAGCTTCAGTAAGGTCATTGACTTTGTTTAAACCTGTTAAATGAGATTGTGATGACTTGAAATCAAATTATCAAGTTGAAAGGCTCATTTTAAGTTTATTGAAGGATTGACCGAAGATGAGGCAATTTGCTAAGTTATCACACAGAGGTCAACTATATAGTTAGGTTCTACATTAAGTGCTGTATGTTCGCTACATTTTGACAAGCAAATTTTCTCTTGAAGATCAACAGTTCAAACAGAACATATTCTATTCTATTCTAATTATTAATGGCAACTTGTGGCAATGTCATATGAAAAGTTTAGTGCCTTGGCAATATTCATATTTTCTGTCTACAAAAGCAGGATTTCAGATAGAAATAGAACTATCAAATGAGATAGAATAATGGGGGTATAAAAATACTCACTTCACTGCAAATGAAAGTCATTGTACTGATAGTAGCAGAGCATTTGCATTGCTTTGTGCACTAAAATGATCACATACATGATCAGAAGACGAGCTCCAAATCACCTTCTTATGATTTAGCTTGATGAACAGATCTAGATCAGCCCTTGATGAACAAAAAACGTACATTTTCAGATAATGCTCAATTGCCTTTGTTCACAGACTCCACCCATCCCGCTCTCTCCCTTCTGTCATCAACAGTATCTAAATCGAGAAGTGCATTTGCTCTGCAGAACTCTTATGCTTGTAGGCAATAAAACACATTGTTAAAATGACGTGTAATTACCCAGGCTCTTATGAATAATTAAGTCACTGCCTCTTATTATGTGCAAACGCATGAAGATGTCAGGTGATCAATAATGAGAGGATAGACATTACATACCAAGCACTTAAAATGAGTCCTGTCCTCTGCTCGAATTTACATTGACTTTAAAATGGTTCAGAATCAGATATTTGATCTGCTCCTTCAGGTGTAAAATGTCACGAATGAATGAATGAATATACAAAAGGTACAATGGGGCTAAAAATATCCGTAAGAAACATGGACATGTTCTTCTAGCCACAAAACATGATGCTGAAAAAAGTACTGGCTATTAATAGAGCTGTTAGCTAACTGTTTCCAACAAACGCTGTTCTTTTGAATTTCCAATTTATTAAAGAATCCTGAAAAAAAATTATTATGGTTTCCATTGTTTTCAACATTGAAAATAATGTTACTTGAGCACCACATTTTTGAAGGATCATGTGACACTAAAGACTGGAGTAATGGCTGCTAATAATTCAGCTTTGCAATTACAGGAATACATTTAATTTTAAAATACATTACAATAGAAAATAGCTATTTTAAATTGCTTAAATATTTCAAAATCACTGTTTACACTGTGTTTTATACTGTAATAAATTCAGCCTTGAGTTTCAGAGACATTCAAAAACATGAAGAAAAAATATATCCTACCAAAGGGTTTGAACTAGGGATGGAACGATTACCGGTTTCACCGTTTTCAAACTAAACTTGCTTACACTACTGTCTTAAATCATATTTATATCACTGATGAAAAATATGTTGTCTTACATTAAAATTAAAAAGTGATTTAGTATTATTATTATTAGGGCTTCATGTTAATGTTAATTTAATGTTTATGCTAAAAAAAAGTGCATATAGCTGCTAATTGTATTTGTTGTTTGTTGATTTTCAAATATAAAACTTATTGAAATGTTTTCAGTGTGTGTATCAGTTCTTTTTGAACATTTTCATCTTAATTTTAACAAAACCGTGATAGTATTGATAACCGTGATAACTTTGGTCACTATAATCGTGATATGAAATTTTCATACCGTTACATCCCTAGTTTGAACTGTACTAAATACAATAAATAATTTTTTGTCATGGGTGTCAGAAGCAAAATAAATGTGGGCGGGTCCTCCCCCAGAAAAAATTTACTGGAGTATATGCCATTTTCTGTAGTGTGGTGCCTTTTAATTAACAGTGTCTATTTACACAAAGTCCAAATAGGCCGCCTGGTTGGCAGTGGCTACTTACTTCACGTCCGCCCACTAACGTGACAACATTACAAAAGACGGCTACTGAGCATTATTTCCAGTGGTGTAAGTGGTAACGCGGGTTGCATAGTGTTTTTGATGCGAGCGACCCGAGTTTGCGTCCGCCTTTTGCCGAAATCGTTCTTCTCCCTTTTCACATCTCATATCACATCGGAAAGGCTTTTGTTTTCAATAAAAATAAAAATCAAGGAAATAATCGAAAAGTTTAAATAAAGTATCAGGCAGATCTTAGTCTCGCGTAGTCAGACCAGTAGCCCCTCAATGCAGAACAAAGATCCAGGGGGCGGGGTTTGATCCACATCTAGGGGGTGGAGATGGGTGGGTTTAGGGATCAGGGCGTGGAGACGGGTAGGTTTAGGTATATGTAAGGTGGGATCCAACCTCGCCCCCTGGATCTTGTGTTCTGCAGTGAGGACCATCTCAGTCAGACTGACGGCTGAATGTCTGGAATCAATGGCAGCTTTCATTGGCCAAGGCCCGCCAAGGCCAATGAGGCCGTTTGACCGACATGTCAAACAACCAATCACAGTTCGTTTCATTCATCGTCACGTTTCGGGGCGTGGAAATGTCGCCCCAATAACAGACCAGAAATTACAATCGGACGTATTTTAAAGATTCTATGCCGCGAACTTTAAATTTTTCAAATACAGGTGCATCTCAATAAATTAGAATGTCGTGGAAAAGTTCATTTATTTGTTCAAAATTGAGTAATTCAACTCAAATTGTGAAATTCGAGTATTAAATAAATTCAATGCACACAGGTTGAAGTAGTTTAAGTCTTTGGTTCTTTTAATTGTGAGGATTTTGGCTCACATTTAACAAAAACCCACCAATTCACTATCTCAACAAATTAGAATATGGTGACATGCCAATCAGCTAATCAATTCAAACCACCTGCAAAGGTTTCCTGAGCCTTTTTTTTTATTGGTCTTATGAAGTATTCTAATTTGTTGAGATAGTGAATTGGTGGGTTTTTGTTAAATGTGAGCCAAAATCATCACAATTAAAAGAACCAAAGACTTAAACTACTTCAGTCTGTGTGCATTGAATTTATTTAATACACGAGTTTCACAATTTGAGTTGAATTACTGAAATAAATGAACTTTTCCACGACATTCTAATTTATTGAGATAAACCTGTACTTTTGAAAATCCAGCCTTTAGTTGATCCTGATAAGCACTCGTCATCACAGCTGTAAACACAACGGCTTTCTTCTTTCGTGAGGGGGTTTGGCATCACGGCATCTTTGTTTCCAGATGGATCGTTAAAGAACGAGGCACACACGTCTCCCGGAAATCCTGTATAATTCAACCAATCCGATGACAACTTCGAAACTCCTGAAGTGTTTCCACTTTTATGTGCCATATGCATCAGACGTTTAGCCAACTGTCCGTGGGCGTGATGTCTGAGGCTGAGACTAGGTGTATCTGAGCAGCAGATGCAGATGCTTTGTTTACTTTGCTGTGTAGCGGGAGTGCAGCAGGCGTGAGTAGTGAAAACACGGAGTTTAATTTATATGGACTCTGAATGAGCCAAGTGGAATGGATTTGAGGAAGCAGCAGCGTGGAATTCAAGGCTGTAGCTAAATGGAGTTTAATTTATTAGGGCATTCGTCATGTTGAATGGATTTGACTGTCACATATTCACTGAATTAGCCACGGTAAAAGTGGTTAGGTCCAATATCATTGGTCTTCAAAAGTGGGTGGGTCCTGTCCCACCCTCATTCAATGGTTCCGACGCCCATGTTTTGTGTATTATTATTTTTTGAGGAAGCAGTGATATTGTGAACAATTTAGGGGTGTCCCCGACTAAGGATTTTCATAGTCGAATCAGAATTTTCTAATCTTGCTGATAAGTCTACTGATAGTCATCATATGTTGCGGGGCGGGCCAAGAAACTACCAAGAGTCAAGTCAGACATTGGACAGTGATTACTGACGTTAATACACAGGGGAAATGTGTAACGGACGCCTCGCAGAAACGGGGTAAATATGTTTTGATGAACGTCAGCGAAACCCAAAGAATTCACAAGATTTTTTACAATAGTGATCTCATTAAAACCTTATGTATATGACAGTAGTTATTAATGTTCTGCATTTCTGTTTTGAGCTGCGCGCGCTGAAGATGTCCAGTAGAGTGACACATTTGATTGCAGGTTTTTAATCAATGGGATTTAACTCATAATTTATCTCATATAGAATATGCTTCGTCATTTATACAACATAACGATAATATTACGACTTCTAGGCTATCTGCAAAAAAGGCCCGAATGCACATGAACGTGTCTGCGCGGCTCTGAATGAACTCCTTTTGTGGACGCGTTCTTCACGCAACAACGTGCAGAAAAACGGCAACTAAACTCTAAACATTCACAGTGTTCAATTATAATAGTGTTCTCATTATAATGTTATGTGTATGACAGTACCAGTCATAGTTATTAATATTCTGCATTGTTGTTTGTCCTGCTCACGCTGCGTGCTGAAGAGATAATTACCGTAGTACTACAATGAAGCACTTGACTCAACCAAATGCATCTTATACGAGATAAATAATATATTGACGATATATATATATAAACCGGCAGAAATGTTATGAAATCACTTGTACCCTATACCTGATCGAAAAAAATCCAGTCTTTCACTCTGTCTGTGTCAGTTTGAGTCTAAAGTTTTAAATCCCTGTGGCCAAGATGCTCCCTGTCGGTCAGATTATGGAAAGTGAAACTTAAATCTATAGGGGTGGTTGGATTTATTCACGCACGTTAAAATATTTATTTGAAGCTTCTTTCTTTTCAGATTCTTATTTAGAGCGTTATCACAATAGGCTATATATTAACTTATTGGGAGAAAACCAGTAGTTCTGTGTGAAATCAGACATTTGAGCACCCCCATATAGCCAAAATGGCATGATCATAACACCCCGCGAATATTCAGATAAATTCTGCAACATTAAATTTTTTTTTTTTAAAGATCAAAAGACAAAATTTTATCACTGCATCCACTGACTTAAATGACATGAATCAGGACAATTTTAGGCACATGCTGTTTAAGGTACAATCAAACGGGTATTGTATCCCAGAGAGCCTTTAGCTTTGTTGTACCCTACCCTACAATCAAAGTGAACAACACTTTTTAAATGGCAGGTATCATATTCCTTTTCAACCTATTCACTGTTTGTTTTCATGCCACTCCTCACTTGTTGAATGACTGAAAGGACTCATAAAAGAAAGAGAGGAGCACCAGACATAGAAAGATGCAAGCAAAGGACAAAATGAGGCACGCTTAGAGAATGAGCACGAGAGACAGAATGAAAGAGACGAGGAAACGTGTGCGATAGATGGAGACGGTGGCATAAACACAATACGCTTGGCTCTCTTAAATGAAAATCCAATTTCGAATAGGCTCACAGAGTTTATGGGAAAAAAGCAAACAAAAAAGAGAGGCCAAAATTGGCCAGCGAGCTGAGAATACTCACACAGATGAGCTATGGTGAAAAAGCATTGCAAATCCTGAGGGCCCAGAGAGAGACAATGATCTTCAATTACCAGCTGCTCTGTTCCCAATTTCAGACAAGAGAAAAAAGGGATGGGAGTAAAGAGAACGGGGTTGAGCTGAGGAAGGCATCAGGAAAAAAAGCAGGAGATTGTTAAATAGGAAATGAGACAGATGGAGAGATTGGCTGATGGTTAAAAAAAAACGATGTGCAGGAAAAATTGTTAAAGCGAGACAGAATTGTGGATGTGCAAATCAGAGCGGGAGAAAAGGGATGGATGGTATAATTTCTAATTCATTCTATTAGATGGTGAGGGCCAAAGTACCATCTCGCTCTCTTTCGCGTCCCCATCCGTTTTGAGTTGCTTTGCAGCCGACGCTCCATTTGCAGATCATATCATCTGTAAACACATTGTTACACTTGTCTGCGCGCTGTACTGTCCTTTCCCCTCTTCTGTCCTCCATTTTAAAGAATGCAAATAAGTAAACAATCCATACAAGCAAGGGTAAGCAAGGCCTCTTCTACAACAATAAAGATGCATGCCTACATTCTACACTCACTAGAGGGAGTGTCTGCAATCCCTTTTCACTTAATGAAACCTCTAGAAAGAATAGTCCTTTACTGGGTAAACTCTCTGAAGGAATGATTGTCCAAGTTTGAAATACCTGAGCGACCACCTTTGTGAATGCTGCACGCATTTCTGGCATTGCTACACACATTTGTCATGTTGCAAAATGCTTGAGGGGAATTTGGTAAGAATAAATAGCGCCCAATGAAAGTGATGTTTATTTTCACGCACTGTCTGTGTTGCTTTAGCGCCTGAATTTAAAATAGGATTGTGGGTGGTTAGTTAGTGAAATGTAGGATTTTGGGATCAAAAAAGTGAATTTGCCTCTACACGATATACTCACCATCACAGGAAAAAACTCTAACTTAATGTCAGTGTAAAAAAAAGTAAAAAAAATAAAATAAAATAATAATAGGAAAACATTTTTTTTTTTAGAAAATCATTACATTTATATTTACATATTTGTATATATTTTTTTGATATATATGACAAAATTGGAACCCAAATGCAAAATATCCTGTAATATCAAAAATATAAAATCACATAAAATACATTTAAAACTCAAAATAACCACTTAAGCCAATGTGACATCAAATGAACTTTTGCATTTGGCTCCAAAACTCTGGAATAGCCTTCCTGATAACGTGCGTGGTTCAGACACACTCTCTCTGTTTAAATCTAGATTAAAGACACATCTCTTTGGCCAAGCATTAAAATAATGCATCTCATAATCTTCAGTTACATCTGATCAAATGCACATTATTATTCCTTAGGTTGGGTTGAACAAATCATTTTTGCATGGTTGGAACAGCAGCTACGTTAATTATGTCTCTATTTGTTTCTGTTTCTGCCACTAGGAATTACACAAGCTTCAGTCTGGATCCAGCCCTTACAAAGACCTGAGATGACCGAACACCTGAGAAGAGATGATGCCAACCCTGAAACAACAAAAACTACCAAATTTTGCTACAAGTTTGATTGCAACATATAATCATTGCTGTTAATAGTGTTCTTCGTCTGTTTGATTGTCATTAACTGCATTTTTCCATACATTTCTGCCATATGTACATCAACTTGAGATAGTCACCACTGATAAGATACTACTAAATATATTGTAGAAACTTACATTGGGCTCTCGGGCGAGATCCCAATTCGTCAGTCACTGACGTAACGTTGAACGTGACTGACTGAATGGGAACTGATTTGTCAAGCATTTCCATGAAGTGTTAGCAATTGACTGTTTGTATTAGCGGGTGCAAAGGCGATTCTTACCTAGCATTGCAGCTGTCATAACACTAATTGCAGTTTCCTCACAGTTCACAAAGCATCGAACAAAGATATTTCCTTTCTTTTACATAGCGGCTCTATTTCTGAGCTTTTTTATATACCTGTGAGAATTGTTACCGGTTGATGGTTGGTTTTGCGTCAGAAGTCTAGCGAACAAAGGCATCAAATCTGAAGCCACTTTAAACCCTTTTCTAAGTGCCTTGGGTCATTATTGCCCTAATTAAATCAGAAAAAAAGAATAATTTGAGATTCTGCATTTGATTACATGTCAGATGAAGTGTAGCATTTATTTATTTCTTTGTCTCGCCCACAAGGGAACAAACATTGCTTAAGATTCATCAGCAACTGTCATGTTCCAGGCGCTATTGCCGTGCCGGCTTGAAAGAGGTGCCGGAAGTCTTCCTTAACACAAGAGCCCCGCTAGTAAAGCACTTTAATTATACGCACACTCACCACCGGTGTCTCTTTTCTCTGCTATTCTCATTCCCACCCTCATTTTCCTCCTCTTTGTCCATAATGCACAGCGGCCTCATGTTTACTAGAGGAAGAATGCTTATATCCACTGCTTTTTCACTTTCTCTTTCCCGTTAATTCTACTCTTGGCAGAGCTCCCAACATCTTACTCATCTCTCTCTCTCTCGCTGTACGGAACAGGTGGGAACAGAGAATCATAGATATCGATTCTTCTTCATTTGGGTAAATGAAATAGAAAACAATCCCCTCTGTTTAGGCTTCAGAACCACTTCCCTTCTCCTACGCGTACATCTGGAGACTGGCAGCCCGCTCTGCTTGCTGGCAGTGCCTCACAGCTGATGCCATTCTCTGGCCAGGCACATCCTCAGGGGAGCCCACCAATCAGAGCTCGGCTCACTCCACTCTGACATCAGACAACCCTCGGCAGGAATGACAATGAGATTCTGCTCACTACGTTAACTAATAGGCTGCTTATGTTAATGTTCATTATTATTAGGGTGTTTTTGAGTTCCATTTCCCAGCAGTACCTCCATCAGCACGTCAGAACCTTTGACATGAAAACACATGGGAACTGCACAAAATTTTGCCAATGTCACCTCTCTGACTTCTTCTAAGGGAGCGAATTTAGATAGCCGCATGGCACGATATAATCAATAAAAGCATACATTTGCAAGGTGGTTGTGAATCATCACAGCACTCTGTGTTCCCGTCGGTGTACAAAATGATACAAGTTACCGGGCTTCATAACTTACCCGAGTCATTCTGAGAGTGCCGTTCGACTGTAATGAAAAATAGAGACTACAAATAATTCATCTTGCAAATAAAATACACTCCGCTCGTTGTTCTAACATCAGGTCGTACCTTGTGCTGTACAGCAATATTGATTCGCAGCACTTCTAAAACATCTGTGCAGCGAAGCATTTAAGATGTAAGTTTAAAGTAATGCTTACAAAAATGTCTAGATCACTTCCATTATTTCCATGGCTGCAGACTGATGAATTGAAACTGTCAAAAGGCCAATTCTATCTCTCTTTCCTTCTACAGCTGGTATCACAGTGATGGCATTTCTATTAGTCTGCATCTCCATGGTGATGCCTGAACAGGCACCGTAGACTGGCTGGCAG